GTTTGACCATTTCATGATATACACTATTTTAGGGAAAGATTAAGTAGAAAACCATTCAGAACGCGGGAAGCGTGGCGTTTAGTATTATATATGTATATTCTAATATACATATAATGTGTATGTAAAGTAGGCTTTGGCATTGGCCCTCTGAACAAAATTGATATTTGAACTCTCTACTTTCGAAAGCATAAGCCCTCAAAAGTTCGTCTTCTACGCATACTGATTTCATAATGAGGAAATGTATATATCTCTCTCTTGAGATTCATAGGGGTTTTCATCTACAAATCATAACTATCTACGAACAATATACAGACGTGAATATGATATGAATATTGCTCATGTAACCCTCGGCAATTCGTCATTGTACAAGATATCTGCATATTGTTTGTAACATTTTTTATGGACCCATATTTGTTATCAAGCGAATATTTTGATTTTATAATCATCATTGCTCCTTCTGTTTAATTTTAACCGGACATCAAATTAGCTCACCACACTATTACATACAGTATTTGAGTAATACTACCTGATTTCATTGCCGGATCTGTTTGATTGCAGCGAATAGAGTCACACGTCGTCAGGCATTTCTTTTTTTGCCGCCTAAGAAGCGTAACTATGCACTTCTCAGCATTAAAGCGGTTGCAAATTGATTATTGATTCCTATTGAATTGCAATCTAACGCTCAAGTAGTAAATATTTATCATTGATGTCGATGTGCTTCTTTGTTCATTTATCCTATTAGCCGACCGCATACGTGAACAATAATGGTTCAATAGTCTTATACGTAACACACATCGAAATTCGTGCACCGATATTAAATTGCTTCTTTCTATATTCTAATTTTATTCGATTACTTTGAAAGGTACACTTTTCAATACCAACTGTATTTTAGTGCACTGACGTCTTCCACAACTTCTGCTATTGGTACGTAATCATTCGAAGCCAACTTATCGGCCTTTCCCATTCCCGGACGTGAGAAGAGGGCCTCCACTTCTTCCAGCGACAGACCTTTAGTCTCGGGAATAAACACATAGCAATACAATACACCGCTTATACCTATGAAACCAAATACGAGGAAAGTACCGTTAGCTCCAAGGAGGTACAGTAAGACAGGGAAGGCACCCGCCGTGCAGCCCAAAATAATTCTATTGACAAACATGACCAGTGAGAGGGCCCCGTGCGCGGAAAGTGGTGGGGTAAATCTCAGAACCCAATACTGTGGGTAATAGTCCCAGGCCCAGTTCGAAGAAAACCATAAACACACACAAGAGTACAACGGCTGCGATAGACCAGTTAAATTGTTCGGCGAGAGACATAGCCAACAAACACAGGGCCGTGCCCAGGCACGATCCAATAGCTCCAATCCGCCTGCCCATGCGTTCGACAGTATACACAGATAGGCCAGCGGAAACAAACTTTGTGAAACCAACCGCCATCGTCATCAACAGAATCGTGTCATCTTGTTTGGTTTCACCTAAACCAGCACTAACGAGAATGTTAGGTGTGTAGTACACCACGGCCTCTGAGCCGCAGATCTGTTGAAAAATATCGATGCCCATCCCAGCGGCCAGCATTCCCCTGGTTTCTTCTTTGGGATACAGAACATCCCGGTTTCTTCTTTGGCATACAGAACATCCCGCCACGATCCAATCGCGAGCCCATCTCTAGCTGTACTATGGTTGCTGCCATAGTCTTTTTCAGCGTCATGATAAAAATCTAGTATTTGTACGTTGGCGCTACCACTCGTGCGTGATGCGTTTAATCCGTTGCATCCATTTTGTGCACGCGCCGCCTTCATTTTCAACCACCGTGGTGTCTCCGGCACGAAAGGCAGCATGAAAAGTGTGCCTAGCGGGATAATAATCGCAACTCCCTTACGCGCCAGTCATATCTGTCGGGCAAATGGGCCAAAAAGTACGCCAGAGCATATCCCACGAAGACTCCGAAGTTGATACACAGCTCGGCCATAGTAATGAGCGATTCTCGCAGCTGTTTCGGGGCCAACTCGGCGGCATACAAAGGCGCGACGGTGAGGTCAAATCCACACCCAAAGCCCGTGACTACCCGTCCGATATCAGCAACGGGCCAATCAGCAGCTGAATAGCAGTACAGTACAAGCCAATTGTACGGCCGTATTTGTCAGCTACGTGAGATGATAACAAAGTGCCAAAGGCAGCTAAAACCACATTTGTTCGCATGTCAGTAAGCTGGAGTGTGGCCTGGAGGGTTGACACGGCGCCGCTCATAATCCCTTCATCGTACCCCAACAAAAAAGACATACCGCAAGCAATACCAATGGAGGCGATAGCCTTCCACGACAGTAAATCCTCATCTGAAGCTTCATCATCACTTTCTGATTTGTCTATATCGCCTACAGGATGTGTGCTGTCTACTGCAAGTGCTGAAGATAAACGAGTTGCTATTTCCCAAATTGACCGAGCTCAACCCTAGTACGTCAAAAGCCGAGTTGTGCTTGCTCGAATGTTGCTGCTCGTTTAACATCGTGGCTTTTAAAACTGTAAGTAACTGCAGAGGTTATTTGGGCTGGTTCACGAGGCTGTCGTAGGATATACGTACCTCTGACAATATTGGAAAGTGAGGGTATCTGACTTTCTAGAGTATAGCACCGCTGTTTTGAATTGTAATATAGTGCATCACCGCATCTGCTCACCTGTTCATCTGCTCAGAACTATTTTACAATGCATGAAACAATCCCAGTTCAAAATGTTAATAGATTCACTTCACGTCACCATTGGCCTGGTAAATGACAAAGACAGGCTTTTTCAACAAGCTAGCTCCCGACCGGTCGTGATATGTCTACCTCGGTCAGTATCATTACGTACATCGGGCCTCTGACTACAATAAACAACCTGTCTTTCTGAAATGACCTCTATTTAGTTTCCGACGGTCTCGACAATGTTCCGTCTGATACCAGCAGGGTATGTGTTCCAGGTACAGCCACCGAGTCCCTGACAGATGAATAATTTGGATCAAGCATTTGATTGGTTTATCACATCAGAATGTGGGTGGGTGACAGTGTGACAGTCTGATAGACTGTGAAGTGTGAACACTCAGACTCTCAGTCTCACTGGGGAGTGGGGACTGTGAACATCATTTTTTAATACTTTTATTTTGAGTTATTTTTTAAACAAAACAAATATAAAAATTAATATAACAATATGTAATTAGCGCGGAATGCCGAGATTTCTGTCCAAAGAAAAAAAAAGTATTTTTAGGTTTTGACACTTTTTGTCCGTTGGCGGTTTGTCGGTTTCCTAGTCTGTCTGCGACTGTCGATTGTGTATATTTTTAATAATAAAAATACAATCACGTTTTGAACAATGCACGACAACGTCACCTTTTGGGTATTCTGACTTCAGACATTAGGCATCAGGTATCACATCGTGGCCGAATCTTTACCATTATGATAGTACAGAGCAGCACGCGGACTTTGTGATGAAATCGGTGTCGTCGTCTTTTCCCAATAGTATCCGAGTCACTACGATCTGTAACGTTTGCACACTTCAAGTCAAGCTGTTCATCTTTAAATTTGACGCCGATACAAATCACAATGACTTTCAATTTATAAGCGGCGATACGCATACTGTTGCTACCTGCAAAAGGAGATGTAAACCCCTAAACGCGTACATAAAACTATTCGACGCTCAAATGTCGCCTCATTGTGTTTGATGTCGGCTGTATCGTTGGTCTAAGTGGCCGCCTCAAAGGTCAACGGGTTTGATGACAACTGACACTTAACATACTATTGGCATCCTTTTTTCTCTGTCCTCAACCCAACGATCACCAAATGGTGAAGTCGATAACTATTGGACATAGCTACATTCTTTTCTACAATTGTATAGGCTGTATGTATTGTAGTAAAAATAAAATGATCGTTCAGAGATCTTCACAGATCACTGCATACTTTTTCGTACAACAGTAACTAGGGGTTTCTGGCTGCAAATCGTTCAGCTTCATTACAACATAATTTCATTGACTGGCACCTTGTAGCGACAATCCAGCCACATGCTGATGAACTTCCAACGGCACTGATGCCACAAACCACTATACAATCCGATCTTTCCTTTAATAAATACCTTTTATATCTAGTTACCGACATTTATTCGGTGTAGAATGCCTGAATTGCGCTGGGCATCTTGTGTGGCGACTGCGATTCCTTTTTTGCTCTCCACCGAGTGGGTCTTGGCCAATATTGTGAGCGACTGTGGTGGTTGAAGATGAAATTGGATACAATGAGGGAAGAGACAAGATGTGATACGGGCTCTAGAATCCAACACCAGTGATAAGTTAACTGAGAGAGGAGACAAGATGTGATACGAGCACTAGAATTCAACACCAGTGATAAGTTAACTGAGGGAGGAGACAAGATGAGATACGAGCTCAAGAATCCAACACCAGTGATAAGCTAACTGAGGGAGGAGACAAGATGTGATACGAGCTCTAGAATCCAACACCAGTGATAAGTTAACTGAGGGATGAGACAAGATGTGATACGAGCTCTAGAATCCAACACCAGTGATAAGTTAACTGAGGGAGGAAACAAGATGTTATACGAGCTCTAGAATCCAACACCAGTGATAAGTGCGCTGAGAGTGAGGCTGTATAGTCAGAGATTGGGGCATGGGGTCAATCTAATTGACGAGCAGCCAGTCAGAAATACAAACATCTGGGAAACACGCCTCTTTTGCTACAGTGAGGATACAAAATCTAGCCATAACGATGCTAGTAGCTATGTATAAGTGCAAATGATACTAATATTCATGAGCTGACACGCTACCGACAACGGGTGGTCAACACAGTTGCAAACAGACACAGATGCTACAGGCTAATCCTGGACAACACTTCAGGTGCGAAGTGAACGAGCGCTACGACTTCCCGACACCGCAAGCACAGGATACACATTATGAAGCGCAAGACTAGGGCAACTAAACAGTATGCAGGAACTCGTGCGCAAAGAACACAGGATGCCTACAAAAGGACAGCTTATCAGCGTCTAACGATACACACTATGAAGCGCAAGGCTAGGGCAAATAAACAGTGTGCAGAAAATCATACGCAAAGAACACAGGATGCCTATAAAAGGACAGCTTATCAGTGTCTAACGATACACACTATGAAGCGCAAGGCTAGGGCAAATAAACAGTATGCAGAAAACCATACGCAAAGAACACAGGATGCCTACTAAAGGACAGCTTATCAGTGTCTAACAATACACAATACGACCGCAATATCTTGTCGTAGCCGTAATGTGGAGGGAGTCTGTTGTGGTACTGGTCACAACACAAACGAGAATGCGTGGAGTACAGCATTTAATGTAGTCACAGGTTTTAACAAAAACTAAGCGGTGGACTCGTTTGCGAGCATTGGGACTTTGTGAGCCAGGTGCATGACAAGGGACAACAAGGGCATTGAGCGCGAGAGAACATAACCCAAAACCCAAGCAGAAATCCGCAGAGACTTTTGGAACAGCTCCTAAGTTGTACAGCCACATGGTCTATGACGGGCGATCCCATTTCTGCCATTCCAAATTACTTGTGCGCCTTTGCGATACAATGCGCAACATACCCGAAAAGTGACGGGTTCGTGAATAGCCAACTGTGACAAGATCTTGCGATTGATTTGCACATCAGCTAGCACCAGTCCGTGCATGAATTCATTGTAAGCGATTCCATTGGCCCGGCAAGCGATTCCCACGCGGGTTATAAATAGCTGTGTGCAGTCAGAGCAGTGGCATGTCAGCGACACGGAGGTATATCAACCACAGAGAATTAAGATATATTTTACTAAACCCTAATTCTAAAACCCTAAAACGCTAAAACCGCTTATTCCATGAGGATACATGCAATACTACACAATGCAACGGAGCATTGCCGACAATACGCAGGTCGCGTAAGGCCAATGTTTGACGAATTTCAAAGTGCATTTAGTCTCTCTCAATTGAGCACCTTCAAATGCAAACTCGCTCGAGATAGTACCACATCGGCCGATAATCGGTGGGTCTGTGCACTTACAAGGTGATGCACATATTCAGTGTACATTTCGCACGTACATCAGTGACACATATAAGTATGATTCGCGCACCCTATTCAATTTGCTATACGCGTACTTCCTGTGAAGGATCGTTCTAGTGGTTGTTGCGAGATACAACACAGCACCAGCATACACGTAGTCCGCAGAGAACGCTAACGCCTGCATGCATCACGACCGGCCCTATCGGCAGCAACAAGCGCACAATACCTTTCGGAAGTCTCGCTTTTTCAGCCGACGGGAGTGGTACGCGTGCTGCAGTGCCTTGAACACTCGCCGCGTGGCGATGCTGTAGCAGTTCTTAGCACGACCTCTGAAACCCTACACGTGGGTGAGCGATACGCCAATGGAAAGTAAGGTCAGTCGGTTCAGCTGCAATTGGTGTCACTTTTTAGATACGAAGTAAACGATACCATGCGTGCAATTGTATAAAAACCATGTACATACCAAAAAAACGCAACTGTATAAAAACCATGTATATACAAAAAAAAAGATGTGCACACAGACTTTGACACAGACGACCGTTCATCAACATTGCTTGTGCAGCAGAGATACGGTGTCTGAGAAAACCGCAGCTCCTAGCAAAACACGGTGATCAAGCGAAAACTCATTGAACTAGTATTCCATCTATGCATGCTCTGGTTGCAATCACCCAACTTTAAACATTACTCTATATTCTTATATTCAATAATTCGGACATGCAATATTCGCTTCTGATAAATGAAAATATGTAAAAATAAACAATGTTTGCTAAAGGAATGGCAACCAACATGACAGTCATACACAAGTAGTATAAGTGTGTAAAACAGAACAAAAATTAAAAGAGGATCTAAATGTTTACGACTGTGCGGAAATACACATAGAAACACATCAAACAATAAACAATAAAACACTAATCTG